CCTGGGTGTCACCTCCCCTGGGTGTCCGGGTCCTTAGCCGGGAGCTGCAGACCCTGCCGCGGGCTGTGTGTGTTGAGCTGGGGTCCGGGGCTGGCACACCCGAGCTTGTCCCGGGTGCCCTCTGTCCCGGGCTGCGGTGGCGGGATCGCCTGGCCGGCGCTGGCTGGGAGCGGGAAGGTGGGCAGCAAGGGAAGGGTCTCACCTGGCTGTGCCCATCTCACCTGGCTGCTGGTTCCATCTCTCCTCTTCACTCTGCCCAAGTCCGTGGCTCACGTCTCTCACGCTGGGGTCCCCAGGGCGTTCTGGAGCTGCTCGCAGGCCAGCAGGTGCTCGGGAGCGGTGGCCCCTGCGCCTGGGAGCTGGTGCTGACCCGGGCACACGGGTCGGTTCTTGTCCCCCCCGTGCAGGAGCTGACTCTGCGTCGGCCGACCCCTTGGTGCTGGAGCAGTATGTCGTGGTGGCGGACTACCAGAAGCAGGAGAGCTCCGAGATCAGCTTGTGCGTGGGCCAGTTGGTGGATATCATTGAGAAGAACGAATCAGGTACAGGGATTTTGTCATGGCAAAGGGCCTCTGGTCTACTCTGCGTCGAAGAGCAGGGGCAAGAACAGCAATCCGGTGTTTTCAGCGTTTTCCTAATAGGACCTAAGTAAAACAGCCTCTCAGCACCTCACAGGGATGTCCTTGGATGGCCAGCTGAGGTGGGATGTGGAGGAGGCAGCTTCAGTCTGCCGGCTGTCTGCTCAAGTGTGGACTTAGGGCTGTCTCTAAAGCAAGGGTCTGATTACTTGTGTGCTGAGCCCCAAGCACCGTCCATCTTTTACAGTCTCTACTTTATGCTTCTTCATGCTGAAAAACTTGGCTAATGGGTCCTGAGGGCAAAAGCAATTCCAAGAGTTCCTGGACTTTCTTTATTGCTGGAGGGAGACCCTCTCGTGGTGCCAATGAAACCCCCCACTGTGCATTTGCAGTTCCTGCTTCTGAGCACAAAGAAGCACCCAGCCAGGGCAGCAGGGCAGGACTCGCTTACTTTAAAACTTACGCTTGCTCTTAACCTCTGTGAAGGGATGGAGGCCTGTCGTGGGCCCACCTTCTGGACTGCGTTGTGAAGGGGAGTTTATTCCTTGAAGTGAACAGAAATTACTTGGTGGGGTTTAAAGATAAATTGTGAAAACAGGTTTTAAAATTCTGGAGAGCTGGTCCCCAGAGGGTTAGTTGCAACAGTGGCTATGTTTGAGAATGAGGACGATAAAGGCAACCCCAAAGCAAGTGAAACCTATTAGCACAACCAGTTCAAAAGCTATGGCAGATAATTTATTTATCAAATGTCAGCCCTGGTTTTCACTTCCACAGAGGTAGCTGCTGATTCCCTCCCCGACAATCTAGTTGTCTTTCTAAATGACTCACTGGTGAGATTCTGAGGATAATGCTCAGTCTTTATTTTTTTCCCCCTAAAGACACAAATAGCTTGTGCTTTTAATAACGGAGGAGCATACATTTGTTTTGATTGGACAACCAAGGTGGCCCAGAACTGCTTGTGGCCACTATGGAGCTGGTGAGGTGTCCACTGGGAGAGCTCATGTTTTAATCCTCCATTTGCTCTTAGCTTTTAAAATTTGCTGTTTCCACAAATGTAAAGAAGGCAAGAACGCCGCAGGAGTCAGCTATCAATTCGCAGACAGTGTATTCATCTCTGCTAATTAGTCTGGGCTTACTGACCCAGTCTGAGGGAAAATGAACCATGAAGGGAAAAAAAAACAAAGGAAAGCAAATGTGGTGGCTGGAGCCACTCAGGTGCCAGAGCCCCTCCTGCCTTTCGTGGGGAGGGAGCTGTACGCCGGGGTATCGCTCGGCTGCGGTTCTGCCGTGGTGCTGTCTGGGCTCCCTTTCAGATAGCGCTTGGCTGTGTTGCTCTGGGGTCACCCCAGCTTCCCGTGTAGGCAGCAAGGACGGGGCAAACCCCCGCCCAGACTCACGGTTTGGGGGAGAAAGAGAGCTGCTGGCTGATGGGAGCCCTTGGCTGAGCCACCTGCTGTTTTTTTTCTCAGGCTGGTGGTTTGTGAGCACATCGGAGGAGCAAGGCTGGGTGCCAGCAACCTGCCTGGAGGCCCAGGATGGTGTCCAGGATGAGCTCTCAATGCAGCCTGATGAAGGTGAGGAGCTGCTGGAGACATCTGCCCCAGTTTCTTCCTGATGAACTGCACTGAGCTGCTTGCAGGAGTGCATAGCTCACCCCAACTTGGGCAGGGCACGAGCCTGGGGAAGGACAAACCCACATATGCTGCTCAGTCGTGTCTGCCTGTAGTAGTCCTGCCTGCCCAGCGCTCTACTCCAGTGTTGCAGCAGCAGTGGGGCAGCCAGGTGCTGGTGCTGTAACTGCTGGCCTTCCTGCTCCCACACATAGGGGCTGGTGGTGCCACCTCCAGGGAGCACTCAGTCCTGCCATCCCCGTGCCTCCATTAGGCCCCAGGGAGCTGTTTTACCTGAACTGGAGGAAGAGCAAAGCTTTGGTCCTAGAACAATTCATTTATCTTCTAAATCAATGCAGAACAAAGAGCATGCATGAGCTCACGTGATGAGAACAGCAAGGCTGCAACCTGAAATGCCCCTGGAGAACATCTCTTTCCTGTTGAGCACTGTACACTCAAAGCGGTGCTGTAGCTGGCTCAGCCCCTTGTCTGGGGAGGTGGAGGTGGGAGGGGGCTCACACTGGAAAGGGCTCCCGGAGGGCTCCAGGTGAGTACAGCCTCTGTGCCACTCTCTGGCCTCAGCCTTGTCTCCTCTTGGACCTGAAATGCCACCTCCTTATGCCCTCTCTTGTCCTTCTCCTGCTTCCCCGACATGCTCTTCTCAGTCCCATGGAGATACTGGTCTCTGCCCAGGCACGTTGGCCGCCGTCGGACTCTTGGGGACTTGTACACCAGTGGATGGGGCCAAGGTGGACTTCATAGAGACTTGTTCAGCTGTCCATATGTTGTGCTTGGAGCCTTGTTGTCTGCATGTTTGTTTGCTTTGCATGTAACAAACCCTGCTTGTGTCGGTCCTCAATGTGTGCCATACGTGCTACTCAGCGTTCCAGTAGGCCCACTCATGTCCACTCTCTTTCCTCTGTCAGCTGGTCCTTCTCACTTTTCAAGGCTTGTTTTGGTACAGAAGCTGGAGTTTCTGCTTTCCCCCAACAGATGTATGCAGACTTCTTGCAACTGCTGCCTTAGTTCCTGCAAGAGCAACTCCTCTGAGCCCTGGCCTTGGGGTTGGTGGCTCAGATGGGGTCAGGAGGAGAAGAGACAGCTTGATTTTGCTGGATGTGACAGGACATTTTCTGCTTTGACTCATTTGTATGAAGGGGGTGGGAAATGTCATTCAAGGGTAGTGCTCCTACAAGATGACAAATCCAGGAAAACCTGCATGATGGGGATTTATGAATGTCCAGAGGTGTGAGGTTTGGAGGTGGACTTTTCCCAAAATGGCCTTTGCTCTGTTGGGGCATTGCATAAGCACAGGCAATTGCTTTCCTGCATTGCTTCCAGAGAGGAGAGAACTAGGCGAGGGAGAAGGGTGGATAGATGGACCTGTTTGTCTGATGTGTTGTCCACATGGCTGTTAGATGTTTCCCCTTCCTCTTGAACAGAAGAGCATCCATGTCCCTGCTTATCATCACGTGGGGCAGTGGACAGGACATCAATACAGCTGGGTTTGTTTCGAAATACATTTCACTGGCATTTCTCTTATGAATGGTTGTGCATCTCTGTGTTTGCACCTGTATTACAACAGGAATTGACGTTATATAAAGCATTTGACTGTTCAGCTGAGTCCAGGTTTCCATAAAACAATATCTCTGTGAAACTGGACTTTCTTTCCAACAGAGGAGAAGTACACCGTTATTTACCCATATACCGCAAGAGACCAGGATGAAATGAACCTGGACAAAGGAGCTGTGGTGGAGGTGATCCAGAAGAACCTGGAGGGCTGGTGGAAAATCAGGTACTGTCACTAGTTCTTCTTTTTCCCTGGTACTGCAGCTGGAACTGTGCAGAGCAGAGACCAGATGTGCATGGCATGTAGAGTCCAAAGGCAAGTCTAGGGGACTGGGAGCGGCAGAGTACCAAAACTCATTTGTCTCCAGCCCTACAAAATAAGGCTAGCTGATGTTCAGGGCTTCACCCAAGCATAGCTGTGGTTAAACATCTTTAAAATAGCCCAGTTTCCTGTGTTGGGAGTGGACTGTGTCACGGCATCACATGCCCCAGCAGTGCATGGAACCAGTGGGAGAGCTTTCCTGTTACATCATGTGCTGCTGATAGGAAAACCAGTGAGTGTCCAGGGGCAGGCTGGATCCGCTGGCTGTGTTGGGAGGCTCCTGCAGAGCGGGGCTGTTGTCTGGGCCAGATCTGCTGTGTGCAGGGTGTGCTGAGGCCAAAGATCCCAGATCGTCCTGAGCTGATACTTGTTTTCTCCTGGAAGCTCATTTTCTCTTGTCTGTGGTCTAGCGATCGGCCAGACTTGAGCAGGATGGGAGCACATGCTGCAATTTTCTTAACCTTCCATTGAACCTCTGGGCTGGGCAGCAGCCAAGCCCCAGAAAACGTCCATTGACTTTTTAAGCAGGGGCGAGCTGCCACAAGAGCTCTAAAGGCAATTCCAAGCTCAGTAGCTGGTGCCATGTGAGAACAGAGGCTGCAGCCCAGCCAGCAGGGAGAGTCTCTGATGCTGGCGAGGGACCCTCCAGCATGGCAGGGAGACTCTGCGGATGTGGTTTCTCAAGCAGGTCACGGGGCTGGTTTCTCTCCCAAACAGCGCAAATTTAGAGCAGGGGAGGGATCCAGGCAGAGGGCTTGTGCTCTCTCCAAAAACCAGGTACATGAATCCTAGCAGCGGTGCTCTGGTTTTTGCCTCTGCTTCTCCTGTGAGTGTGATTCATTCCTGAGCTGGGGCCACTGCTGAGGTGAAAAGGAAATCAGGCTTCGTGCCATCCTCGGCCCTTGGCCCGCTGGCTCCGGCCGGCTTGGATGCAAGTCATGGCTGGAGCTCTCTAGGTGCCCACGTGCCACAGAGGATGATGCACGGCCAGCTCGTTTTGCCCAGATCACACAGGACCTTCAGTCAGTGTGTGTCCTGAGCTCTCTCTGGAGATGCCCGATGGCTCCTCGGGTGCAGCGGGTTGCTCCTTCGGGCAGGGCTGACAGCTTTGCGGGGGCTCTGCATGGTGACACTGCCATTGTTGCCGCTGCAGGTACCAGGGCCAAGAAGGCTGGGCCCCAGCCTCCTACCTCAAGAAGGGGAATGGAGAGATGTTCTCACAGAAGCTGGGGCCAGGCTCCTCTGCTCATTCGTGTGCCTTGGATCTGGACGGCATCTCCCGGCAGCAGGCCGTGGCAAGCCGGGAGAAGGACGGGCTGGCCGGACAGAGGGACGGGAGACTCGACAGCCGCGCCCTGCCCGGTGCCGACACCCGACGCAGTGAGTGCTCAGGCCTGGGAGGCCGGCGGGGCTGGGGTGTCGGCACAGACTTTCCTCCAGGCTTCTGGACAACGTAACGAGGGGGGAGAGAGGCAGAGGGCTTGCAGGTGCCGTGAGCTCTGCAGCAAAGGCTGGAGGTGACGGTGCACAGGCGGATGGGGCATGAGCACAGTGCTGCCCAGGGACCTGCTGAGGGTCAGCAAATGGGAAGGGGGCAATCCCACCCAGACTTGGAGATGCTCTCCTCTCAGAAGGTGGGGCATTTTTTAACCCCTCTGCAGGCCAGGTTTTCTGGGTCAGGCCTGTAATGAAAAACCAATTTCATGTGGTGACCTCAGCTGCATTTCCCAGCAGCACCTGATGGTGTAAAGCTGGCTCCTTTTCCAGTGGGAGGACCTCAAAACCTCAGTGACACATGCCACACAGGGTACCAAGCAGACAGGTTCCTCCTTCAGCTTCCTTGCCCATGGAGCAGGCTTGGTCCTTGCCTTCTTGTTTTCTCTTTCACTTGTCTTTTGTGAACAAAGGTGATCAAAAGCCAAAAACTCAATAGCATCTGAAATTTTTCCTCCACAGAGTCACCAAAGATGAGGCAGAGACCTCCTCCTCGCCGAGATCTCACCATAGTAAGTGCCAGCTGATGTAGGAGAGCAGCAATGACAAAGGGAGTCAGAGAGGAGCACAGAAAGGGGCTCTGGTCACCAGTTATTCTTTTCCTGGGCTGTGCTCTTGGTCAAGGCTGGAGTACATGTGCCACCTCCCTGCTGTCTTAAGACTCCTCATTTTGCATGTGTTTTCTAAATGAACTTTTGGGCAGTCTGTCCTGCAAGGCTGGGTTGCCAGTGGGAGGCTGCAGACCTCTGGAGAGGGTGACTGCTGTCAGCAGGAGCTCTGGTGCTGAGCAGTTTTCCACTCAGCCTGGGAATGGTTTGTGCTGGTAAGGATGCTGCATGGGCACAGCTGATCTCCCTGGCCTGGCTGTGCTGGCCCAGGTCTCCACAGCTGGTGGGCTGTGTGTATGTTGTGTCACACCTTCTATAGAAACATGCTGATGGGATCTTTTCGTTTTGGTTTTTTTTTTTGTCATAGCCACGTGGTTTGAACCTGCCTAAACCTCCTGTCCCTCCTCAAGTGGAAGAGGAATATTACACCATCGCTGACTTCCAGACCACTATACCTGATGGCATCAGCTTCCAGGCAGGGATGAAAGTAGAGGTGAGACTGTCATCTTCCCTTCCCACATCTTCACATTAGTGCAATGGTCCTTACTCCCATTGCCCTGGACCCGTTTCAGGCAGGAGCTCCCTTTCCAGGCAGGAGAGATCTTCTCACCATGGTGTTCTGGGTGGAAACCTGGCATGGGGGTGCATTGGTAGTCTCTGTGCACTGTTAACAATTCAGGACTCTGGATTGAGAGTGGGAGAGTGGGATATTGTGGGAGAGAACCTGTATGAGCTCTTGAGACTTTGGAGTCCGTGGTTCTCTTGCTGGCCTCCTGTCCCCCAGGTGTGGGAGCTGTATTGTCTGAGCTAGTGGAAATTACAAGCACTTCCAAGCAGGGGTGGAGATGGTGGGGTTTTTTTCTTATTTAGGCCAGGTGTAAAGTAAGAAGTCCTTCCAAAACTGCTTCCCTAGAACACCCACTTTTCCTGGCAGAATCCCTCTAGCAGATGTGATTTTGCTTTCAGACTGTAAGCTGTGCCTCTCTAAGAGGATTTGTCCTTTATGGCTGCCCCAGTCAGCTCCTCCAGGTCCCAGCCCCACTTCTGCAGCTCGCAGGGGCGGGACGTGGCCGATCTGTGCAGAACGGGTGCCGGTTAATCGCTCCCACAGTGCCACGCAGTGGCCACCGCCGGTACCCAGCATCCTGCTCCTGTCTCCTGGCCGGGATGGTGACAGCTCAGCCTTAGCTCCTTGACATGGCCAGGTCTTTCCTCAGGCCCGTGGCATGCAGGTCCTCTTCCTTGACAGAGGTCATTAGCAGGTTCCCCTCCTGTTAGGATACCAATGCTGTGAGTACATGCATTTTACCAGGACAGGGAGCCACTGAGGCCATGTGCCACCCTGACATCATTTCAGAGACACTCAGCATCCCCTCTTGTGCAGGGAGGGCTCCTCCATGGATGTCTGAGGTTTCCTCTCCTCCTGGCAGGTTATTGAGAAGAACCTGAGCGGCTGGTGGTACATTCAGATTGAGGAGAAGGAAGGCTGGGCCCCTGCCACGTTCATCGACAAGTACAAGAAAACCAGCAACGCGTCCAGGCCCAACTTCCTTGCTCCGCTGCCTAACGAGATGGCCCAGCTCCGGCTCGGCGACGCCCCGGCTGACGGCAGCGCCGGCGAGGAAGCCACCGGACCGTGCCGACCTCTGCCAGAGGCTCCTCCTAACGGTGCTGACTGTGGTGGGAAGTGGGCCAAAGACTGGAAGGGGAAGGAGGCTCCTGAGAGCGGCGACCTGGCATTTGCTGGTGGGTATGAGGAGATCTCGGACCGCGACACAGAGGAGAAGCCCAGCTTGCCGCCCAGGAAGGAGTCCATCATTAAATCAGAAGGCGAGTTGCTGGAGAGGCAGAGGCCTCCCCCCAAGCCCCCAGGCATGATTTTGCCCATGATCCCACCCAAGCAGTCTGCGGCCCCAAAGGACAGCAAGAAACCTGAGCTGAAGCCAGAGAAGGGTAAACTCTTCCAGCTGAAAAATGAAATGGGATTGGAATGTGGACACAAGGTGTCAGCCAAGGAAGTAAAGAAGCCAAACCTCCGGCCCACTGTCAAGCCAACCAAGCCAAAAGCTGAGCCTGTGAAGGACAAGCCTGAGCCCCTTGACCAGAATCCGT